GTCCTTCATTGGCGACAGGCCAGCACTTGAAGTGCCATTGTTCCACACCACCACCACAAACAAGACCACATGACAGATCCATCAGTGCTGGCAGAGGCACCAGGCCCAAGTGGTACCAGCTCGATATTGTGTTGTGTTATTAAATCGGAGAGGTCAACAATGGTCTTCGACCGCGACCACTGCCACTTTACGGGGCGCACGCCCCCGATGTGTCCCATTATCTTCTTGGTTGGCGCTGGACGCGGCAACCGATTGAAAGTCATGGCACATGTCAAGGCCACAGCCACAGAAGCGGACGCATTAACACCCCAACAGTCATACATTGATTGGAGAAGCGAGATCAATGTCTCCGAAATTCATTGAGCGAGGGGGGCGGAAAGTCTCATCGCCCAACAACCTGAGCTTCCTCTTTTCCGCAATACTTCGACAGTATAGGACAAGTGACATACGTTTCTCCGAAATTCATTGAGCGAGGGCGCCGGGAAGACCCACCGACCAACCTTTTTCTATAATATTATGCGTAGGAGGAAGAACAGGCTTCATTTTCAGAACTTAGGACAAGGCGAGAGATTTTTTTCTGTCTGAAATAGTTCCAGACGATCAGTAGAAGAGCATCAGCAAGACGAAGGCGATTTGGTAAAGACGAGGAAATGCATGTTCCCATATTTGTTGTGTCTGCTGCTGATCGCGGACGGCGGTGAACTTCGACGAGGGGGCTTGGCTCGCGATATGCCATATCGAGGCATACTCAAGATATGACGGAACGTGCGCCGTAGGCCGACATCGGTATGTTGATTTCTGCTAAGCTGACCATGAGATTCGAATCTTCCAGACAGAGCAACGAGGACTACAAGACGACGAACCAGTCAAGACGAGAGAAACTAGCGTGCATCGATCAATGGCCGTGTTCCGAACACGGGGCTGGCATGTTGAGCGAAAGCGTTATTTGCTGGCAACGATTGGTGCAACACCATACTCTCGAGAGCTTGCCACATTTGGTAGGCATTTGAAGTACTCTATCAAGCGTACGTGGTCACTTGCATGGACGTACTACAATGGATGTACCACATGCAGAATCAACTTGACGAAGCAGTTTGTAATACGCCGGCCAAATAGACCTCTCTCATTCTAGTCACCGCGCGATGTCTTTACTTGTGACTGTTTGCCTTTCCTGCTGCGGACTGCTGAGACGCATGACACATTGGCGCTTGGTGTACGTTACTACACGTGCATTCCTCTAGTAAATATGACATCAATGGTGAGGACAAGACCGCTTCGTCTACTCCGTATCTGTGCCGCCCATACCGCAGGAAATACCCCCTTTTGTCTTATCCTTCGCCGAGAATGTACAAGCCTCACCCACTCCAGAACTATCTTGTGCGAGACTGCGTCACTGATTCATATCTCTTGAAGTTGTGGGAAGACATGCACATACGGCACCTCACAAGCTGGAATAGGTTGACGGTGTCGTCTCACTACCCGATTGTGGGCAACAATAGGCACCACGTCGCTACCCGTACATCAGACATCTTGTACCCCTCCGAATCTCGTCCCTCACGTGCTGCTGTGAAACGTCCTTTTCCAAGCACGAGATCGACGTGCGAACGGTGGGGAAAACTCTTAACATCACAAGACCCGCAGACACAACAACGCATCTACAAAGTTGCTCAACCACCCTTCATCCTGATGCTTCCCCACCACTGGCCGGTTGGCGTCTTACACTACTGGGCAGTTGTCGTTGTCACCGTTGTGCACGTCCGGGCAGTACTGGATTGAAAGTGGGTTCCAAACGAACGCGGGGTCGATGCGGGACGGATCGAAGGTTGTTAGTTCGTGCCTTGCTCTTCCCTGGCGATATGTGTTTAATCATTGTTGTTTTGATTTAAAATTGGTGACGAACTGACACAACCTTTTGGGGCTGCAGCTCCCGAACTAGGCCCCGGCTTGTGAGCGGGCGCCATCAAAACTAGACAGGTTTCGACCACTCATAGTCTGAATATGAGATATTTCACGTATGAGAGAAAGATAGTCCTCCTTTCGTCAGGTATCGTGTGTTCCTCCGGCGAAGGGGAATCAATCACAGTTTATTACCATGTGCGACAATCACATTACCCACACCATCAAGATAACTGGTACCATCTGCGTCCACTTCCTCGCGCTGTTCGTGGGTCCGTGCCGTGTGTAGCACCCTAGTGAAACGGGCACACAAGGGTGCTAACATTAACATTCACGTTTTCACCTTGGCAGTGTTGTCTTCGAACACGGTGTCATCGGGGAACGTGATAGCGGACGCGGGACCGTCGTATTCGTAATCGCCGTCGGAGGTATAAATTGCTCCACCCCAGTAGGCCCAGTTCTCTCTGAAAGTTGTCGAACCCATCAACCTAGAATATCACATTCCGCAGAGAGCACGAAGCAACGAAGGGATCACGGTTAGCCATGAACATTGAAAAATGTGAGACCGGGATGAACTCATTTACAAGAGACAGACGGAACAACCGACGTTGGGTGGAACCGACACGTTCGAAGAAGTTCGACACGGGCAAGGTCGGCATGATAGCAACGTGAGGGTCATGAGGGTGCGTTAGGAAACGAGACAGCGAAGACTGGATGTCCACGGGAGAATGCCACACGACACACTCCGATAGGTAACATGCCGTAAGATATCACACCCCTTTGGACCGCTGTTCACAGCTCGATTACTCCACAAGGAAGAGGGTCCCATAGCCAAACGATGCGTTCTTGGAACTCCCGACGGCATGATTCCATCGAAGACATAATCTGCACTACCACTCTTTCTGGTGAGGGGTATTCGAGCATCAAAAAGCGGTTCAGGGGGCGCGATGTGTTATGTCACCTACGTCAAGTAGCTAACCTTAACCCGTAAACATTCGCCAAACCCTAAGTTCTAAGATACGAAAACAGGGCCTTCTCGTGGGTCAGACCTGCCTCACCAGGAGATCATGCCAGCACCTATCTTTACCAGGTTAGATTAGGTTATTAAAAAGTTCATGCAACTAACAAATACGCTTTGCCCCACCAATAGAACCCCCGCGACCTGCGAGGTTGACCCGCGGGTAAGTTCCCTGCCCCGCCTACATCTAAGCGGAACGGGATTCGCGACAGTTGATAAGTTGATAAAAACACGACCTTGTGAATCAAGCGCGTGTTCAATGATGGCGACACTAATTGTTTTGAGGCGCCTCTCGTGGATGGTTGCTAGACTAGTGTCGGAGGCAGTGGATGCTCTGACCGACATGTATGTTTCGTTCTAGCCGTCGTCCGGGCTCTGGCTAAATGTCACACACGAACACAACGGACACCGTTGCAGGCTGAATTTTCAAGTTCTGCACGTCAGTGAACCAAACATCGACATTATGTAGGTAGGCCGGACCCTATCCCAGAGGTGTCTGTCTATGGCGAGTAGAGTGACACACTGGTCACCTAGATCTGAAGCGTAGATAATTCGACAATGATTGGCCATTCAACGACGTCGCCGGTGAGATGAGGTCACGAAGGGTTCGAAACGTCGCTGGCCAGCATTAACAACAAGCGCAAGTGGAAAAAGGTTGGTCCGTAACCGACCTGATCCGCGGCAATTTTGACCCGTTTGTCCCCTTGGAAAAACGCCCAACACGACTACGCATGGCGCCACTGTCACTCACGTCACTACCCCTCCGTTTGTGTTGTAAATTGCTCCACCAAGGCCGCCGTCGCCGGACCCTGTGTCGAAGTTGAGCTCGAAGTGGCTACCGGCGTTGATGTTGATGACGTCACCATTGTTCATCAGAACGCCCCCTCGCAGCTGGTGCCGTTAGCCATGGCATGGGTCAATAAATAGCAGGACACACCGTACGATATATGATGATAAGATGACCGCAGGGTTGGACCGCATGCAACGTTACCTTGGGTCGCGACTGACGTCAAAACATGGCGCTTGGAATCGTTGGTGCCCCAGTGTGGGACTTAAACCATCACTCTAAACAATATATATATCAAAACGACGTCTCTTGACAGAGGAACTGCACATGAGTGTCGGGCGTGAGAGATGCCCTACCCAGCAAGTCGTCAGAAACATTTGTCCGGTCGGGTAAGTGTTGAATTGCGAACGCAACTCACCTATGCAGTGGGGGGCCCGGTATAAGGCGGTGGTGTGCGCAGTGGATATAACTGCCCATATCGGGCAGCCGCAATATTCGTGAATAAGGCTGCAAACCGCCATATGCAGGGTTGGAGATTGTCTCATTGGGGCGGTGACCGCCTTACGTATTCAGGGCAAAATACAGGTTTACAACGTAGTGGGTATCACCTAACGGCGCGTTGTTGAGTAGAAGAGGATAGTCGCGCGCACCATATTTCACACACATATGTCATTGAGCCTGATGACTTGCAATATAATGAGAACGTAGCATTATGAGCCTCGTTACTTCACAGCACGGGGGAGCAACAGCAGCATCTACAGCGGCGTCGCGAACAGCCCAAGTACGGCACATCGCATCATCGAGCTCCGGAGAACCAGCTGGCCATCATTCTTCTATCCGGGGTAAATCTAAGACTTCTTTCGAGTTCGACAACTTCTCCATCGGCGTCATCGTATCGTCCACTGCACGCCCTACACGCTCCGCTCTACACGCTACCCACCGCATCCAAGAGTCGCCGGTCGCCACGGACGACATCATCATCCCCGCAGTTTTTTCCGCGGAAGACATCCACCATCGTCTACCCGTCCATCGGGGGACTACATTGCTCCGCAATTTTTTCTGCGGATTTCTGGACGAAGGAGGGGAACAGGGACGATGGGTAGGGATGATTTCTTAAAAACGACGCAATTCCATTGGTCCAAAGCAGGTCCTTCCGGACTGATTCTTAAAAACGACTTAAAAACGACAGCTCGTGATTGGCGGGTTAGGGTAGCACGAGGTGGTTGACCCGCGCTTTTTGTGCCGACTGCACTGCTGTACTGCAGCAATGCTACCGCAAGCTCACCTACGCGCCACGCGAACCCACGCGCATACCACCCACCCCCGTGGGAGCAGCACCCACCGCCATGGGCCGCAACGAAGGGTCGAGGCCCGGAACCGGGTCCAAAAGACCCGGCGCGAGGACACAATCAGAAAAGACAGCAGCTGCAAGAGACATCGCACAGCAGGCGCGAGGCATGCAGTCGTGGCTGTCAGGAGGGTCGACCTCGAAGCGCCCACGAGTAGGTGGTGCTCAGGGTGGGGAGGGAAACAATGTGAGTTCAAATGAAGGTCAGGGCGTCGGGGAGAGCAGCACAGATGCCAGAAACGCTGCTGGTGGATCGCCCAACTGCAGCAGCAGCGGACCGGGTCATGAAGGAGCGCCACGACCCGCAGCACCACCTCAACAACAACCGCGAGGGTCGAGTAAAGGGAAGGGAAAGCTCGCCATGCTTCTTCGCAAGGGGGAGCAGCAGCCCCACCACCACCGCCGCCGCAACAAGGAGCTGGAGGGGTAGCAACAGCAGCAGAGCTGGCAGCAGCAGCAGACGCAGTCGTGGCGGCGACAGCAGTGGGCGCGAGTGCGTCAACACCAGCAGCACCAGTTACCGGCGTACGTCAAGGCCGTGGAAGCCGCCAACCTGTGCGAGCGGGTGGGCGCGGGGAGGGGACTGGAGGAGCTGGAGTGCGCGGAGAACAGCAACCGAGAGGAGGAGCGGTTGGAGGTCACGGCGCCGGAGGAGGTGGCGGGGCAGGACCCCCCGAGGTGGAGGGGGGGGCAAGTGGTGCCGATGACAGCGACCGGGTGTCGCCTGCGCAGCTCGCTTTCATCGACCAACTGAAGAAGACGATCGACAAGAACATCGTCCACCATGCCGGCGGTGTGAAAGCACCAAAGGGAGGTCCAGGCGTGTTCCCGTTCGACAGTCTCTTCATCACTCCCAAGTGTGCTGCGATGCAGAAAATCACAGGTATGTACAGACAGTAGGCGTCGTAACAGGGATGGATTATGTTTTTGGTACTGCCATACTGCCACGTACCGGCAGAGCCCACAACATGCCGTCCTCCACAAATATTTGTGTTCTGCCACGCCCTTGTAAAAAAATTATTGAAAATAATCTTGCAGCGTTGTTCCTCAGTGCTAATTCTTACGCTGTTTCAAACGCCGTTTGGTCTGGCTCTCACCATTTTGATAGGTGCAGGACAACCGAAGGTTGATCCGTACTATCTCAAGACCGTGATCGATTGCATGCAAAGAAACCAACAATCATCAACAAATATGAAAACAGCCAGCTTGGGGTTCAGTTTCTCCTCGTTTTTCTTTTCTTCTTGTGTTTGTGGATCACCGTCACCCGCACCAACCCCCCGCCGCGTGCCCATCCGCTGGGCAATAACGTCCTACACGGCAAGGTATCAGCTTGTTGAATAGTTCTCTGCGGCCCCCCCCGCGCGCCTGATGGCTTGAACCCCAAGGGACCGCGCCGGGTGTTCATGGAGCATGACGTGGCGTACATGATCGGCTTCCGGTGAGCAATGCACAGATAGATGCCCCCCCCGTGCGCATCACACGTGCTCCGTTTTCTTGGCATCCATACGTGTGTAGTTGCATGTTTATGATAAACTTGGCAATCAAACTGCCCGAGTTGATCCATCAGTAATTGAATACGCAATGACTGCGTGTGAGACGAAAACATTTCTGGGTGGGGGGATGAGGGCCGAACGAACATACCATTATTTGCAAGGTGCTAACTTTATGGAACCGAAGGACGTGACACGGGAAGGGGGTAAGAGGCAAGGGGGGGAGGGATGGCAGACAAACAACACGCAGGGAACAGACTGATGCCAAGTCAAGCACCGCAAAACAAGTCGTTGGTACGTCTGTGGGTGGTACACCAGTCCTTCAAAGATGGTGCAAAGGATATGACTTCTTGTTATGTCACACTACGTGGTGCATGTGTAGAACGACGTCGTGTCTATTTATCTGCATAAGAGTTTTCTGCCCCAAGGCCTCGTAGCTCAGTTTTGCGTACACCCTCTAGTTGTGGCATGCCCTGCGGGACAAACCGCTATTAACAAGAAGCAGTTCAACAAGAAGTGCCGAGCGCATGTAGCTCAACTCTACGCCGGCCTCATCCTGTAAATATTTGTTGTCGCATTCCCTACAGGACAAACCGCTACAAGCAGATTAAGAACTTCGAGAAGCGCATCCTGGTGGCCACCGACCTCTTCGGCCGCGGCATCGACATCGAGAGCGTGAACATCGTGGTGAACTACGACTTCCCCGACGGCGACGACGGCTCGGACCAGTACCTCCACCGTGTGGGCCGCGCAGGACGGTGAGAATAGAACCGGCTTCTTTTTTGTTTTCAGCAGGGAGTCTGGATCGGACCTTGTCTGTGAGAGTAAGCCGCAATGGACGGCCGGGAGTGGCATATATTAAATAATGAAATCAGTAGCACAGGGCCAGCGTGGTCCTAGTTGTAGTACGCGTTTTTCGAACGGCACCAATGGTGTGTGTAGGTGTGGCATCAGTTTTTCTTCAAGCCGATGTTGACTGCCGCAAGGCCGTGACACATGCGTCTTTTTTTTTTCTCCTCATTTATCGAAGTGTGTATACTGCCAACAGCTTGCAGTACCGATCAGGCCGATGTTTGTCGCTGTATCTTTTGCGCTCAACAATTCGTTGTTCTATCTGTATCACGCAAACACTCGCTCTCTCTGTGTGTCTCCCTCTTTCCGTTCGACAGATTCGGCACCAAGGGCCTGTCTATTTCGTTCGTATCGACGGAGTCTGACGCCAAGAAGCTGGAGGAAGTGCAGTCCCGCTTCGAGGTGGACATCCCCGAGCTGCCGGACACGATCGAGACAAGCACGTACATGCAAGCAGCAACTTAAAATTTTACAACATGATCATAAAATGTTTTTAGAAAAACTGGGTTAAGAACCGCGTGCAGGGAAGGATGGGCCACAAAGAACGGCGACACATAGAAACGGTGCCGGTTCGGTCGAAACGGCAGATGGTGGGGGTGGGTAGCGGCCTTGTAGTGGTTTTCGATTGCTCTGTTGTCGGAGGGAGTGCTTCTAGACGAATGATGCTGTACCGGTGTAGTGTCTGTGGCCGCAGCAGTATGTACCAGCAACCACCGAGCACGAGCAAAAGCCCATCGCTCAATGAAAAGTCTCTAGTTGAACATGGAGTAAGAACCAGAGAGACCGGGAGAGGGGGGAGAGGGGGGAGATGGGAATGCCTCTTGAACTCCTGAAACGATAGGCGTGGGCTTGTACTGCTGACGAGGACGGGGCGGCCTGGCATTCTTGTGTTGCAGAGGTTTTTCCGTTCTTCTTTGTAGTTGCCAGCTGTTTTTTGTCATGTTTTCCAGAAGGCGACACGGTTGGGTTAGTCTCTCCGAGCAGAAGGCAGACGGTGGTCTCGAAATCTCTGGCCGAGCGTGCAGAAATGACGGGAAGGTCGCTGCTTCTGTATCGTGTTCAAGTATCTCGTCTGGTATCGTGTATTGTAGCAAGTAGTGGCGTGCTCCATCTTTGTCGAGTTGTGGCTGCTGACAACAGCAACGCCAGAGGGATAAAAAAGCAATATTATAGTGTATGCGGAGATCGCCAATCGAAAAGGGCACACAAGGCGGAGGCTTTGCGTCTCTACACGGTTATTATTATGCGTTCTCAGCCGCAGAACTGCTTACGGTGGGGGGGGCGGTTTGTCCCTGTTTAGCGCCATGCCCTGTTTAGTGACCACAAAACCACGTCGCACCGCCGCACCCCCGGTAGTATAACAGCAATATAACTGGTAGTTCGGTTTAGCGAACTGCCTTTTATAGCGGCAACATCTCGTCGTGACACTGCTGTAGGTGGGGGCCGCTACACTTGGCCCCCCACTACTTACTTGCTGCTGCTGTATTTCGTATTTTCAACGTCTCCCAGCGAAATTTTGCTGCATGCTGCAACAACCTGTGGTGCACCCCGACACGACGAAAGCAAGACGGAGGGGGTGGAAAGTCAAAGTGTAACATCTCTTTGCACGCAAAGTAGAGCGCACGAGCGCATGCACGCTGAGTACGGCTGTGGGACTTCGACTTCAAAAATATCTTTGGCGGGGGGTTACATACAAGGGGTCCATTTCCGAACACAACGTCTCACGTCTGTCTCTATTGTTGTGTGAAGTGTGAGCATATACGAGAAAAACGCCCCGACCTCTGCTCAGCACCTTCTAAAATCCATGTACTGCTGACTGGTCCGGTGGTGAGAGGTACCTGTACCACTTGCGGTGGTAGGGTCCGAGTCCCCGCAGATCGGACAATTGTAGAGGGAAGCACACGGGGTAGGGATACCACGCAATGATTCTGCGGCTTTCGCAAAAAAAAATATAATAGCCCAGATTATCCCTACCTATGGTTTCTGAGCCGAAGGAGGACCTACAACACATCTAGACGGAGATTCAAGGTCGACGATCACCACACACATCGGCAGTTCAGCGGGTTCTATAGCAGCTTCGCTAAGAAATCGGCACGTAATTCCGAGACGTTCGCCACAACATCGGCATTCATCGCCGTCAGCACCCCTGTACCCAACAAGTAAGCGGTATTTTTCAAGTTCGCGAGACTGTCAATATCTCGACGAAGGGGCACAAAATTCGACACGTCAACATACGTGAGCGAAAGTAACTTCAACCGACGTCTTCAACTTCAGCGTTGCATCTACAGCAGCAGCGCCAAGTTAGCATGGATCGTCATCTACCAGTTCAACACACGTCCTACGCAGCATGGGAGAGCCTACATCTACATGTAGTCTTGCTGTTACAGGCGGACGCCGTCGAAAGCTAGCGCTGTAGACGGCAGGTTTTTTGTCTGGCTTTCAAAAATTGAACAGACGGGAACCTGTGTTTCCAACGCGGCCCAGCTGCCGCTCGAGATCACCGCTGGAACGTCATCGTATAGTGGATCAGCCGCCGTGCATCACGCATCGGGGCAATAGTTCAGCTAAGGGGTAGCTCCTCACAGCTAAGAAAGGCGAAGGTGAAACACCTCACATGCCACATTTCAGCCGCCGGTATCACGCCGCACGGCTGGATTTCTCACCGCTTCGCTAGCGGCAAATCGACTTGGTCGAACATCGGTCTACAGAACGACCTCTCTGGACACCCACACATAAGGGACACCATCATCACAAACAACGCGGGCGGCTACCAAGATCACCTACACCAACGCGGGGCCTACCCGCAGCGCAAAGCTGCCAACCGGCGAAATTCGTCCGCAACAGGAAGGTTTGTTCGTCGAAGCAGATAGAATAAACTGGTGTTTATTTTGTAACAGTCGAATTAGAATTTGGCTTCATTTTCTACCGGAAACCCAGGGTCACGGTGTTTGGAATTATTAGTCTATAGTTGGGGGTGTCATTCCGTGATCGAGTCCACGCAGGGGCTGTAGCAAAGTCGGGTAACGGGTGACAGCTACAGAGCGCGTGAAGCAACGGAAGGACAGCAGCAGGCGCCTAACGCAGTAGCGGCGGCAGTTTAGAAAAGGGCGGGACGGGACACGGCGCAAGCATTGGGGAAGTGACCAGCACGCGACTCTCCATATAAAGGTGTGTACTCGTGTCCAACATCCATCGTGTCGGCCGTGTTCCTATTCGCGTCCCGCTACTCTTGTGACCTCACCGCTGCGTGCATTTAGCACGAGGGGGGAGGGTGCAGTAAGATAAGCGGCGGCAAGCCAACGCAGTCTCGCTCGCCGCGCCGCTCAGATAGGTCCCTTCCCAAACATGGGATGCGGTTCATCCCAACCGAGACGTACTCTCGCTGAAGAAAAAAAATGCGGTTCGTCCCAACCAAGACGTACTCTCTCTGAAGAAAAAATTCAACGGCAAAAAGAAAGAGCGGGGCCTGTTGTATGGTCGCACGCTGACTTGTCGCGGTTGATAGCAGCCATTGTACTGCACGGGGTGGAGGAACCCTGCGGCATCGGACATAACCAATCGACCCGCGGCAGTAGGGCATGATGCTGTCACGAGTATGCACATGAGGCAGGTGCCTTGTTTTCTGTTTCCCCCGGCTTACTAGGGACTACTTGCCGGTACAATCTTGTCTGTGCCGCGCACAGAGGGGCATATAGCTGAAGGAATCGACGATAATATGCCCACTCACGTAAGCAATCGTCTCCACGGATGGTATTGACAAGTCCCCACTGATGGTATCGACAAGTCCCATGGCATACAAAGCGGCCGCATACGTAATCGGAAAGTGCATTCAACAGCATTCACGGGAACGGATAAAAGCAAAAACACATGCATGCGAGAGAAAGACTCAAAGAAAAAGACTGAAAAACAATGAAGACGAGAAAAAAAAAACGAGACAGCGAACTACGTGCTGTATGCATAAGGAAAAAGAAGATGAGAAAAAAATAGGGGGGGGAGGTGGATGTGACACGCGAGGTTCGAACTCGCGAGGAACGTCAGGTAGCGGTCCATGTGAGTGCATCACGGTCTCGAGGGGCATCACGTCAAATTTATTGCCGCCGTGACACAAACCTTCTATAAGAATACGTCACGTCCATCGACGATTAAGCGACCAAAAACGCACGGACAGCAATTGATGCATGCCAAAAACTCGTCAACCTGCCGTAGGATTGTCTATGCGGAAGTGATCTCAATGAAAATAAAAAAAACAAGGACACGCACCAGCACGGGACGCGCCAATAGTGGAAGCACTCGTCCGTGCTGTTGGTGAGTGGAAGTTAACCGATCTCAACGCAACG